CCCCAAAACCCCAAAACCCCAAAACCCCAAAACCCCGAGGAATGTTATATTAGTTGAATTTTAATGGTTATTTTGGAGATTTTTCGATTTTTTCTCTTGTTTCTTTTTGTTATTGGATGTATCAACAAGTATGAGAGAATTATATTTTATCAGTGTTTGTTTCTTTGAGATTGACCATAAGGGAAGCTTTATACGGGATAATGCTAAACTATGATTAACAAGGAATCTTTTTCAGTATTAGACCTTCGCTCTAGAATTTATTGAAGTTCCATAATTCTCATCTGAGAATATCTTATATCAGTTAATGACAAGATTAGCGTGCTTAGTTTAATAGAATAAATTTCTAAATTAAGGTTTTAACTAAGTCTCAATAAGCTTATTGCACTTGTATCAACATAGCAATGACATCATTCTTTTACTTTCAAAATCTGAAATTCAGTTAATAGTGATTGTCGAAAGTATTCTAGTTGGTAGTATACTAATAATGGCAACTCAATTTAATGCAAGAACAATAGCAAAACTCACAAGAAGCATCAAATTAGAAAAAATTCCATTTAAAAATAAGTCCAATGATGCTCTTCAATAGTGCAGTAGTATCGTTTATTAAGTTTGTGAAATAAACCTTTGATAACCCATTCATTATAAAACAGTTGAGAGGGCGATATAGATATATTTTTGTTGTTTTGAATATCTATATGTCCCATAGAGCCTTGAGCTTGCATCAAAGCAATATGACCCTAATTCTATTTCGATTTTTTTTAATAAAATTTCAGCGATCAACAATCCTTGAAATTTCTCTCTAGTAGAGTATCGATTCAAAAGAGTTGTCGACACAAAAATCATAGTCTCAATAATTTTGAGATGATAAAAGAATTTTATATCGGCTCTTGAAATAGAAGACTTAATTGTGCAGCTTCGAGAAGACATCCTTCTGCTCAGAGTAAGTTCCATTAGCTGCCACCAGGATTTCTTGGAAGAGTTTACTGTAATAATACTGACTGAGTATTTTAACACTTCAAGAGAAGTAGTCCTTTGCTTTATGAGCAAGGGTTCTTTGAGCCATAGATAAGTCCTAGTCATAGTCTCAAGAACCTTATTTAATTCTCAAATATGGGGTCTATCGAAAATGTTCCATATTTATATATTGATAAAAATTATTTGTGATGCTATTTTCTGAAATCCTTAACTCTCATTGGATATGAGTTAGAGTCTTTAAATCAGCAGTCATAGGTCGCTTTAGAAAGACTTATCATCATTTTCTAATAGGGATGGGTTCGACAAGTTCTTTATCATAACTCTTAAAATAGCATTAAGTAGAAAATAAATATGAAAGAAAATAAATTTAGATAAACTATTGATAAAAATTCCGAGTCTGTGTTAATTTCGCCAAATGATATGGCCAGCGTTATTTTCAATGAGATTCTAAAGCCTTACTATTCATTAGACTACATATTTTATTAAAGTATGTAAACGACACAAATTGACTATTTGGGAAATTGGGACGATTAGAAATCTGATTGAACCCTTCTAGTTATCAATTGTAATACTTGACAATAATCTAGCTATTAAACTTTAATAAGCTATAAAAAGTTAAGTTTATTAAATTTATACAAACATATTTAGGAGTTGTACAATCTTGCTCAATAAATTATTCTGGGAACTCTTTTAAGGCTTCGATCAAGAAAGAAGTCTTCGGGTCATTTCAGTTTCTGATAAAATATTTTCAAAGTATTCTGAAGCTAACCGATTGTAACGCTTTTTGTAATTTTGTGTGTGAAAAAACTCTAGTTGGTTCCAGGAAGTTCAAAATTTCAGTTTTAATCTCTGAGCTTCAAGGTAATTTCGATACTTTTCTCAAGTTGATGATTCCCATAGTGAAGTAGATGAGGTTATCATCCACTAAATGCTGAGGGATAACTAATTCAAGAGTATTACGTAGGCCTTCATGCAGCTGATTTGTAGTACAATTAGAGTACCTCTTTCTAAGAATGTGCGTGTTGTTTCTTTTGAACAAAGTTGCATAGAATCTCTTCATGCTCCTTAAGATAGATTTCTTTACTGAATCAGGTTTGATCTTGGTCCTCTGTTGGCAAAATTTAGTCAACTCTGAGGCTTCTGTTGGAGAAGCTAAATAACTTGTCTGTTTCATTGTCACCTTATCATAGATGGTTACTGTACTATCTGGCTTGTTTATTGAATCAAATCATATTTCGTATGTCCAATCGTCTGATTGGCTACTGCACCCTCTGAAAACACTCAGGGTGTGGAGACCTAAATAATATAGCTACTTATCTTACAATCAGGTGCCTTGTCTGGATTGAAGAAATCATAAAATTGTTGACCACTCATAGATAAAAGTAAATATATTATTATATCCAATTCGAGTCCCATATAGCGGGGTTTTGGGGTTTTGGGGTTTTGGGGTTTTGGGG